CCAGTCCCCGCCTGGGGCTCCCCTGCTCCTCCTCGCCCATCTCTCAGGTACTGTCAGTGCCAAGGCCCGAATAGGTCCCTTGAGTGGCCCCCACGCAGAAGCCAGCTCCCTGGCCAGGCATCCAGCCGTTCTGGGCTCCTGCGTCACCCTCCAGCCAGGTTTCCTGGCCCGGGCACCATCCCAGGGGCCCAGGCAGGGCATCTGTCCCCAAGTGTCCAGTTGGCTGCAGGGCTGGAATAAGGGAGCCCATTCATTCCCCTGGGCCTCTCTGCCAGGGGCCCTGTGAGCCAGGGTAGGGGAAACTGAGCTCCCCTGATTCATATCGCCACGCACTAGGCATTGATGGGCGCTTTACAGTGTATGAAACACTCCTTTCTTATCTCATCCAGTTTTTATGCCAGCTTGGGGGAGGCAGGTACTGCGAGCCCATTTGAAAGAGGGGAGAGCTGAGACACAGTGACCTTGGGCTGGGGAATGAACTTTATCTGGGGTTGCTTCCTCCCCCCAGGAAGTTTAGGGTGCCTGAGACTGGGTGAGCCTCCGTGAAGCACTTCCATCTTGGGCTTCTCTCCTTAGTGGGGATAAACCTGTCAGGCCAGTCTCTACCAATAATGTTCTTGAGACAAATCACGGGTCTCTCCTGCCCCTCCCAGCCCTGCACCCCCATGCCAGCTTCCGCTCAGTCAACTTGGGCCCACACCCAACGATGCCAGCTCAGCCTCCATCTCTGCCTCCCCTGCCACTGCTGCCACCGCTGCTGCCACCCCTACGTGACCTCCAGCAGGACCCCCAGCAGACCCCAGGGCCCACCAGGCACCCAAGACCTCAGCACCTCAAGTCCCTCGAGTCCCGAGCCAGCACGCAGCCCACCTAGGAACCCACCAGCCCGTGAGCCCTGCGCCCCCATCGTCCCCTCTGCTCCCCCTGCTGGCCAAGACCAGGCCCTGAGCCTGGCCTGGGGAAAGTGCAGGGACCCTGGACATAGGGGAGGGATCCCGGCCAGGGAACTCATTTTGACCCAGTGACTGTTTTCACTCTGCATATTAAGACATACAACACAATCCTTTTTATCCTACATTTAACGGAGAACACAGCTTTCTATTAGATTAAATTTTCCACCAAGCCAATTTAATTCTTTGACCAATTTTCAATATAACACAGTTAAAGCTGTGTTTTCTTTTTATTTTGCTGAAATGATTTCATCAGAATCGGTTCCAGTTCCAGCTGATGCCAATGTCCATTTTCTTTGGGGGCCATTACTTCTACCAGGACGAATTTTCTCATGGGAAACAAATTTTATTGGTTTTGATGTTACATTTCATAAAAGTTTGTGTTGATCATTTCCACCAGCAATTACTGTTATGACTTGGATATTTAAAGAAGCTGATTGTTTATATTTACTTCTGGCTAATCCCTGAAGAACTTGGGGCAACGCCCCTGGAATACTCCAAGACTGCTCTGTCCCATCCAGGGCTGGGGTCTTGCATGCCTGTGTGACGTGTCAGGTTCCTGGGCTAGCTGCCCATGTGCCTGGTGGAACAGAGTAAACTAGCAGGTCAGAGCACCCTGAGCTGGCAGTTCAGTAGCCCTCCTTGGATGGCAGAGCAGAGCTCACACCTGCCGCCCGGCATCCTGCATACCTAGCTTGATTTTTCCCCTTGGATGGTTTCTCTGTCCCTTCCTTCTGTGTCGCTTCCTCTCCCTGGCTTGTCCAGTTGTGCTCTCTGTCCTCTGTGTCCTTCTGACACTTCTATCACATTTCACAGACTACAGAAAATTTCCCTCTGTGCAGCTTCAGGGCATGACACCCTCCCTCCCCCCAATATCCACTAGAGGCCCCTAGGATGGCAGAGTGAGTCGGAGTGAGGTGGGGGTGAGCTGCCCCAGGCTCTGCCAGGGAGCTGGCATGGAGGAGTCCCCGGACCTGACGGCCATCAGAGCCTGGGGACAGTGTGTGCCTGTCCCCTTCATAGGGTCCCCCAGCCCTCCCCCAGCTCCTTACTGGGGGGCCACTCTCAGCCTTAACTTCTCTTTTCTTTCTCCAGGGGCTGTGTCCAAGCTCTTCCTGACCCAGGTCCACGCCACCTTGGGGGGCATGGGTGGTGCAGCCCAAGCCCCTGCCTACACCTCCATATCACAGATGAGTATTTGGGGCAAACTTTCCCAAGAATAAAATCTTCCATCTTTCATTTTTTCTGACTGTGGATGAGGGTGACTAGCCTGGTGTCCTGTACGGAGGGTGGCCTTGCCTGCCCCATGTGGGTGGGTGGCCCTCCTGGTCCTTCCTTGGGCCACCACACCAAGGTCAGCCTCCCAGAGCCACTGCCCAGAACCACCGTGGCTGACCCTCAGCAGAGAATTGCAACCAACCTTCCCTTGTCCGTCACACTCCCCACTGTGGCAAAGTGCCCTGAGCTGCCCCAGGCCTGTGTGGTGGGCAGGTCGGGGGTCTGTGGGTGGGGCAGGGGTGTGACTTGTGCAGGGTTACAGTGAGGCCTCCACTCTCTGGCTCCCCACCCAGGAGGCTGTACTTCTTGGGTGCTATACACAGGTATGAGGGTCCCAACCTCCATCACCTCCCCAGAGGCAGGAAAGGGAGGTGTGGCCCAGGCTCAGGCAAACGGAGCTGGGGGCTCCGGTGGAAGCACTCCCTGCCAGCCTTGTCTGCTGAAGCCCCACGGTGCAACGTGCAACGCTCTCAGCCCCATAATCAGTCCCCACTCAGCCCCTCAAAGCTGTCTTCCCAGCTATTTCTCAGGTTTATATCGGAATCAATGCTCGAGTTGGTTCCTGCAGTCCAGGGAGTGAGGCGGCCCAGGCAGGTCACCATCTGCATTCTGATAGGCCTCCTCCATGCTCTGGAAGGCAGGGCACCACAGTCCCCACTGCAGCCAGCCAGCTGCAACAGAAGATGAGCCTTATCCCCCATGGGGGTGGGGAAGCCAGCCTGCAGCCTGATCCCAGGTGGAGCTGCAGGGGGAATCCTTGCCAAGGACAGTGGCAGAACCCCCCCTCCCCGATGCCAGCCCCAGGGGGTGGGACCTGCAGGCCTGGGAAGCTGGGAGGGAGGTGTTGTGCCCACTCCCAGGGCAGCTGCCTCAGGAGGGCGGCACACCCCGTCCCAGCAGGGGAAGGTGCTTGGGGAACGGACAGAACCAGGGACGAGGTCAGCAGAGTGGGAATTTTGGAAGGCCCTGGGTCCACCACCTCCTCAGTAGGGGGAACCACAGATCCAGGCCTGGGACTCAGCAGCAGGGCCACGCTGGACAGGGAGTAGGGTGCCCAACTGTCCTGGTCTTCCTGGGAGTGAGAGGGGTCCCTGGAACTTTCAGTTTTAAGGCTGAGATGAATTGGTCAGAGGGAGGAGAGAGGGAGGGAGGCATGTGGGCTGGCCAGGTATGTGGGGCTGCACAAAGGAGCCAGACAGGAAGAGGAAGGTGCCTCTTGCCAAGCAGAGGGTCCTGCCTCTGGGTGCTACTAGAATGGAGAGACTGTGTGGTGACCACACTGCATCCCCAAACCCAGCCCCACAACTCACTGATGCAAATCAAAAGGTCACTAACACTGTCTCCCTTTCCATGACAATGAACTCATTAACCCTAAGGTATAAACAGCAGCAAACGTGTGTCCCAAACAAGATATGCATTGGAAAGAGGCACCAGTAGAGTGCCCAAGAGTGGGCCTCCAGGAGGTGGCAGGTGAGGCACTGGGGGGGGGGGCTTCTGTGCAGGGACGTCTTAGGGACACTGACATTAGCACGCACTGGTCCCCCAGTCACCACCATCTTGGCTGGCTTGACCCCTAACTTTGCATGGGTTTAGGGGCTCTAGGTAGAGACCCCCCCAAACCATCACACAACTGCCAGAGAAGGGCTTCTCACTAGCATCCATAGAAAATGTCCCCACCAGCACTTGCAGCTGTTATTCCCCAGGAGATGAGCAATGGCCACAGAAAGCAGAGCAAAACTCTGCCAACCGGCTCCCAGCACCTTGTGCTGTGCCACCAACAAGGCTTCCGCCACCCTGGAAGTGGGCCCTCCCCTACCCTCTCCTGGAGGACCCAGCATCCCCCTACCCCTAAAAGAGTTTTAAGACTCATTTGAAATACATATATTGCCCAGAGATAAGCTGTGCCTAAACAGAGACCTTTCAAATGCAGGAATTGGAAATTGCTTTGCCTCAAAAGATCTCCTTTTGGCCAACCCAACTGGCCTCCAGGACACCAGGAAGTAACTGAGTCAAAGCCTGTCTGTCTTCAGATGAGTCCTGTTATGAAAAGCCCCTCAGAGACCTCCAGGGCCACAGTAGCCCCGCCCGCCACTGGATTTGGGGGGCCAGCCTTGGGAACAGCGTGGTTTTCTGCAACCCACAGTGCGTTCTCAGAGAACCCTAGAGACCCTGGGGACTCTCAGCAGCCCTGGAAGTGTCCCCATCATCCAGAGAATCTTGCAGAACAAGCTCTTCTCTTAAAGCTGTCTGAAGGAGTAGCCCTGCCTGCCTGCAGAAAGCCTTTTAGAGTCACCATTCACCAGCCAGGTGACCCTCCACCCACAGAGCAGGGCATTTACTTCCAAAGCTGCTCCTGGGAATGCAAGATCCCCTTCAGATTCCAGCCTCTGAGACGGCAGTTGGATACACACACATGCGTGGTGGCTGGTGGAGAGGGCTGGCCGGCCAGGGGCAGGCTGGCTTCAGCCAGTTGTGTCCTTGAGGAAACGGGCAATATTACAAATTTCAAAGATAAGCCAGAAGTGAGGCTTTTCTTGTAAATGCTCCCGATTTGAAAGTGTTGACAGACAAATCAGAAAGGCATAAAACACCATGCAAGCCAAACGGCACACATCAGGGGACTGAGTTTGCAAGCCCCTAAGATAACCATGCCCGCCTTCTAACAGCAGACCAGAGGGCACAACCACTTGTCACCTAGGGAGGCCAGAACTTCATTCCCACACACTGCCATATCCCCTCTTTAGAAATGAGACACGCAGAGCTCAAGTCACATTCTTTCAAGCAAATGATGTTTTTTAGAGTGGAATTTTGGAAACATAGTCACTTAGAGCTCAAGTCTGGCAGTCAGGTAGGAGGTGACCAAGCCCAGAAGAGTCTGGACTTTGAGGTAACAAGTCCGGTTTTTCCAGGAGGTGCCCAAGATGAAGGCCGTGAACCTGGCTGTGACTGAATCTGTTCTGTTTGTACACCAGCACCTTTGCTTTTTATAGCCAGTTTACACTCAAATGTGTAGTAGATGGTTACTGACACCTTCAGTTTTGCTCCTGAGCTTCCAGGGTTGGAGAAGAAAGGTCCCAGGTTCTGCGTCACACTCGATTGTGGGGCATGTGACATCTATGTGGGCCCACCTCTGGTTCCCTCCCCTTGGGCTTGTCCAGCCCACTTCTGCAGCCATACCCTTGCTGTGAGATGTTCAGTAGGGGGCTCCCAGCACACCTGGCAGGGCCTCTGCATTGCTGAAAAGTACCAGAGTCCCCAAGTCTAGCTCCAGTCCTGCCCTTCACTGCCTCCTGCTCCGGGTCCCACCTTGCCTGGAGCACTTAGTAAAAATTAGATGGCTGGGTCCTTCTCCGTAACAGCTGCTTCAAGCACCTAGGGGACCCTTACGCTCCACAAGACTGGGTGCTGTGAGGGGCATGTGCTGGGTCAGAAGCACCGGGGAGCCATCTTACCTTTAGTAACAACTTTGACACATAATCGACATGCTACAAAGTCCACCCTTAAAGTGTGCAATTGAAAAGGTTTTTAGTTTGTTCACAAGTCAGTCACCAATATCCTGGGAGTGTTTAAAACTATACTGTCAGGACCTCTCCTCCAGATTCTGACATTGTGGGCCCAGGAGTCTTGGGGTGCTTTGTCTTTTCACAGAACCCCTAGGAGGCTCTGCTGAGCAGCCAGCTATGGGACCATGGTCTTGAGCAGAGGCTGTCCACAGCAGTGTGTGTGTGTGGAGGAGGGCACGTGATTTTGCCTCCAGGAGACATTATGCCACATCTGCAGACTTTTTTGGTTGTCACAACTGAGGGGAGCTACTGGTATCTAGTGGGTAGGGACTGGGATGCTTCCAACATCCTGCAGTGCACAGGATGCCCCCACAGCGGACAGTGATCCAGCCCCAAAGTCCAGTGCCCACGGTGGGAAAACTGGGCCTATAGGAACCTCAAGTCCCCTCCAGCCTAATGTGACTCCCTGGGACCTCCAGACCCAGCCCATAGCACTCCAAGAAACAGAAATGGTCCTCACTTCCCACAGATCAGCACTTATAGGGACATCTCTAACAAGCTCCAGGTGATGCTGATCTGAGGACACACTTTGAGCAGCACGGGTGTGGACCACCTATAGGCCACCCAGGGGCCGGCCCAAGGCCGAGTCCCCATTGTCTTCAGGAATGCAAATTCTAGACAGTGCACTGTCTCCTGTGGTTCCAAAAGGTACAGCTGCCCCAGTAATCAGCTCGCTGGGAGAGCTGAGGCACGCTCACCGCACACGGCTTATAACCCAGAAATGCTCGCCTCTGCAACGCATTTTCCTGCCACTTGAAGAGGGGATGTGCCAGTTTCCTGAGAATTTTCTTCCATCCAAAATGGAGAAGCTGCAGTGAAGATTCAGGGGGCCTGAGATCCCCCTTCTTCCCCTGCTCATATGCACCCCAGACGGAGCTATGCCCCCTCTGGACTCTGAGAGGCCGTTGGATGGTGGGTTTCAAGGTGAGGACACACTTCCGAGACGTAAGCAACAGCTTGAGCAGGGGCCCAGCCATCGGTCTTCCATGACAACCAGAGTGTAAACAGTCATCCCAGGTGGGCTTCGTCAAGAGCCTGTCCAGGTTCCAGCAGGGCGGAGACAAAGCTGGGTGGTGACATTCATGTCAGAAAGCACAGTCCCATCGCTGGGAGCAAAAGTGGACTGTTAGTGGAGTGCCAAGACATGTCAGGCAGGTGACTTTCTGAAACAGAAGAAACTCTCCAACCCAACTGCCATCAGAGGGCTTAGGTGCCAACGGAGGCGGGGCTGGGTGCTTGGCAGGCTCTCCTGGATTAGGGAGTGAGGTCTGCTGGTAAGGAACTGCAGAGGCCCTGGCCTCTCTCTTTCCCCAAGTCCCGGACCATCACAAGGGGTGCAAGGCTGAGGCTGTCTTCTCCCAAAGCTGCCCCAGGGACCTCCTATCCCAGTGGGGGCAGCCCAGGGCAAAGTGAGGCATCTGGCTTCTCCCTTGGGCTAGAGTAGGTGCCTGCCCCAGCCCAGCTTGGAAGCAGGCAGGATCCAATCCGTTGTCCCTGGGTGGTCTGTCTCCTTAGTGACTAATGGCTTGAGCCCTGGTTGGACTCTGCCCTGTCCTGGTCCTGTCACTAGCCCCCACTGGTTCTGCATTCAAGCCTGCTGACTACAGGGTTGTGACCTGCGACTCCCCAGGGGAGAGCCCTGCCCCACCCAGCATGTTTGCTGGAGGTTGGGCTTGGAGGGTCCAGCCCACAGCCAGCCACTGGGGCCTGAGACAGGAAAAAAAGGTCCTTGTGAAACCCAGGCAGACCGGAAGGCAGTTGTTAGCCCTGGAGGTCGGGATCCGTCCAGCCAGGCAGGGGGAAGGGTGGGCAGATGGAAGCTGGGATTTTTGGAACACAGGCCAGAAACTAATTTCATGGGAAAAGCCTCGGGTGGGCAGGAAGATTCCAGAGCATGTTGTGGTTGAAAAGACAGCGACAGACAGGAGTAGTGTGGAGCCAGGCAGGACTGGGGGGTAGCTCTCTGTTCTGGGCTCCATCGGCACCCTCCCCCTACACACGGAGCCAGCTGGCAGCAAAGCTTAGGATACGAGGCAAGACCACAGAGCCTGGTGGTGGTTGGAACTCTTTCTTCTCCTTTGTTAAAAGGGGGAAAGGAAATGGGTATGGGGTACCCCGGGGCTCTGGGGGAGGCATGCAGACAGCCCCAGCAGGCAGGAGCTGGGGGATGGGTGGGAAGAGTCCTGGAGTTTCCCACAATCCTTTTCTCTGCAGGGAACAGCAAGGCTGGCTGCTGAGGGGGGAGGGGAGGGAAGGGCCCTGGGGAGAGGGGTGGCGGGCAAGGGACTGGGGGGGTCCACTCTAACATGCAAAGTCCAGCTGCCCCATAAACTAGGTTGCTTCTTGAAGAGTGACATACGTATAAATACACAGACACAGCTACACGCACACATGCGGAGAAGGCTCTGAATTCCCGAGGGGTGGGGATCTAGACCTGCCAGCCCTGAGGAGATCCAAGGTGGGAGGCGGCCAAGTCTCCGCAGCCCCCTGGGGTGGGGTGAGTCCTCTGGGGAAGGCTGCTTGGTCTCTGAAGTTCTGTCCACCAGCACCCAGATGACTGAACCAAACCCATGCAAGCTGGGTGCCGTGCGCCTGCGCTTCTGTGTGGGCGCAGGCAGCCTGTGTGCTGGCACCAGGGTCCCGTCTCTCCCCTCCAGGGCTCCAGGGAATGGGGGTGCAGACAGATGAGGGTGAAGGGGGCCCACAGAGACGTCCTCTCCCCCACCCCACGGGGTCCTGGCCTCCGGGAGGGGGGAGGGGCCTCCCTTATCTCTCCGCCTCCATGGCAGGGTGGGCCCTCGGTTCTGAGGCGGCCTGTTGAGGGGCCAGGGGTGGCCAGCCTGACGCCGGTGAAGGGGGTGCTGGAGTCCACAGGGGCGGCTGCTGCGGCTGGTGGTGCTGTGGCCCCCCTGGGGGCGAGGCCACCATGGGCCAGCTGGGCGCTGCAAAGCTGCCGGTGGAGGCGTGGGGGAAGTGCGGTGGGGGCGACGTGGCCGTGGTGGCCATTGGGCTGCCGCTGCCACCACCGTGGAAACTCTCCGAGGCCTTGAGACGGGAGAACATGGTGAGGGCATCAGGGAAGTTGGGGGGCGTGGCGGGGGTGTTGGCAGGAGTGCACATCTGTGGGGGGGGAGAGCAGAGGAAGGGGTGAGCTCTGGAAGGCCCCCAGCCTCCCACTGGCTCCTAATTGGAGGAACATGCCCTCCTGTTGGGAGCTTTTGCGCTCCTCCTGTGGATGTATCAGGGCCCCCACATGGTCCACCAGCCAGGGGCTCACAGAGAAAAGGAGGGGTTCTGAGATGGGCTGGCCCACCAAGGAGGTCCCATCCCAGCAATCCCTTCACGGGGGGAGAGTCACTGCAGCTTGAACCAGCAGACCCCTGCAGAGCTGCCCGGGGCTGCAGCGGACACTTACCATCTGGTGGTGGTGGTGGCTGTAGGGGATGTTGGTCTCCTGGAAAAAGGCGCTGAGGGCCGTCTGCGGGAAGAAAAGCCCAGGCTTACCCTCAGCACCCTGCCTGACCCTGCCGCTGCCCTCCTTCCTAGGCTCTCTGGGACTTGGTGTGGCCCTAGGCCTGGCTACCAAGTGGGAGAAGCGAGTTGAGGCAGCATGCCGGTCACCGCAAGACCCTCGCCACCGCCCGAGGAGGCACCTTGGGCCTCCAGGCAGATCTGGTGGGTGAAAACCCTCATGACACTGCCCGTCAGCTGGATACCAGGTGCCTCCACTTTGCATATACCTGGTGTCATCACTGTGACCTGGGGGGCAGGCAGCACCCTCGCCCATCTCGGGGAAAGGCAGACCTCAGCCCAACTGTCACCAACTCCATGAGTGGTGAGTTCCTACTTTTCTCTCAGCCAGGGATAGTAAAGGCCCCAGATATCAAGTCTGTGACCAGCCAGCCCCTCTCCTTGGCTGACCAAGGGACTGCCCTGGTCTGGGCCTCAGTTTCTCCATCTGTACCTTAAAGGAACTGAACTCAATGGCTTCCAGGTTCCCCTCCCTCACAGCAGTGGGCTCCTAAGATTCATATTCCAGCTGGGAGAGCTGGAATTAAGTAGGATGGTCTGGGTTTTGTACTCGCTGCCCTGCTCACCTGAGCCTCCGGCGAAATGTTCTCAAGGTGGCAGAACAGGAGGATGGCAGAGGTGGTGGGGTCTGCACCCAGAACTGTGAGGAAAGGGGGACGAGAGCTGACCTGGCTCAGACCAGCTCATCTGAAGGTCCTAGGGGGCTGGAGCAAGGGGGTGGGAGCTCCAGGGTGGCCTCTGGGACCCCCAGGGAGGCACTGGCATTTGGTATGTCCTGGCTCAGCCCCTGCAGGAGGGCGTCAAAGAAAATAAGGGAACCAGCTGCTCTTGCGAAAGTGCTGGGTGAGGGATCCCATCAAGTGTGCAAAGTGTCTACCAGGCCCTGCCAAGTCCCAGGCTCAGCTCTGAGCAGCCCCTGCCACTCTGCCCACCATCACCACCCCCTCAGGCTGGCCCTCCACAGCTCTGCAACGCGCAATTCCCTCCCTGCCCCTAACCAACCCAGAAACCCAGTCTGGCTCCCAGGGCTTCCCTGGGGGTTTTGCAAGTTTCTTAAAGTAAAATCAAATAAATTATTCTGGGATTTCCTGAAGACACCCTGCCCCAGTGTCCCCAAACAGGAGTGTGGGAGATGGAGGGGCTGGTCTCTAAGCATGTTCTCATGACTCCCCCACCCCCACCCCTGGAGCCCAGGGACACACCCAAACCATTCCTGTCCCAACAGCAGCTCTCAAGGACTGGAGTGTGAGGATTCCAGGGAGAAACATCTGCCCCACCCCTTAAAGCAGACAGAGGTCCCCCTCCCCCTGCAGCCTCTGTCCCCATTAACACCTGAATCACAGAGCATATGACCCAAAAAGAGGCCTCCAGCTGGCTGGGTCACCCCTCAGCCAGTATCAGGGAGGGGACAGGGGGAAATCAGCCATTAAGGAACCACTCACTCACTCCCACAACGAGACCTAAGACTTAGGGGTTCATGACACGTTTCGTCTTAGGTGAACTTCCCTAGTATCCATATCCCCATTTTACAGATGGCGAAACTGAGACTCAGGGAGCCAGGAGTACAGGTCTTCTACCCCTGGGGGTCATCAGAGCCCCCCAGTTTGCAAGCTGCTCCTGCCCCTGCTGGGATCAGGCATTTCAATCCTCAAAGCTACATTTTCAATTTCTGTGAGCTACAATAGTAGCAACCAACCTGCACTGCCTGAGTGAATGCCCAGTTGGTGCCAGGCTCTGTGGGCTGGCTGAGAGTGCCTGCCCACCGGACACCTGCCTGCCCAGCCCCGGGGAGGGAGGGAGCCATGTATGCAGATATGGAACTCAAGCAAACTGCCATGAATGTGGTTTTGCAAGTTTTGCCACATCCAGCCCTAGAGACAAATGGGTTGATTAGGGAGCTTCCTGCAGGGTGGGGCTACCAGCCCTGGGGGTGGGAGGGCATACACCCCTTAGAAGTCAACTCACACTCAGCAAGGTATACAGACGAAGAAACTGAGGCCGGAGGAGGGAAGGGACCTGCCCAGAGAGAGAGCAGCCTCCCATGTCCTGGTGTGAGGACCACACAGCAGATCTCTGTAGGAAGGAGGTGAGCAAGGATCCTCTGGGTGGATACGCCACTGTCTCTCCAGACTGTCTCAACCTTCAGGTGGGAATTCCCATCCCTTCCAACCCTCAGGAAGCTCCCCTGGCTCCTGGTCCCTCCTGAACGCCCAAAGGCCTTCCTTGAGCTGGCTCCCCATTAGGAAACCAGGCTCTTGGGCCCCTGATGAGCAAAGACACTACAACTGGCTGGAGCTGTGACCTTACACCTGGGAGGAATGGAGCTCAAGGGGCTCTGGCCTCACCCCTAGATACCACCTTGAGTTATTCTCGGGCGGCTGAGTTAGGGAAGGCCAGATGGCCTCTTGGCAGCACAAGCCATAGGCATTAGTGTCAGGGAGGCCTGGGGGGTGGGGGCCCGACTGAGACAGCCCCATCTCCTGCCCAGCTAGCTGAAAGCTACTGAACGGCACACCAAGCCTGCACCATGCAGGTAGATTCCCCTGCCCACACAGAAGAGGTCACCAACACAACACCGTACACTCGGGTGTACACGCGTGGGCACCATTTGCAAAACAGCGACGTTTACGTACACATAGCACACACCCCGCACCCGCGCCCCAGGTGGACTGCGTGTTTACACACGCCAAGATGCCCGCACGCAGCGTGGCGCGTGCGTAAATACAAACGCATATGTACGTGGACACAAACAACGAGGGCTGCCCACCGGGCACGCAGACCTGTATACCCCACAACCGGGACAGCTCCGCCCGCGGGCTCCAGGGCTCTCCCGTCCCAATCCCGCGGCTCCAGAGGAAGAGGGGCAGCGCGTGCCCAGCTCGGGGCAGGCCTGGGGCGTCCTCCTTCCGGCCGCTCGCCCGCCCACCCGACTGTCCGTCCGGGCCACAGGGCCACCCCGCTCTGGCCGTTGCCCAAACAAAAGTGGGAGACCCCACATCCCCACTGCCCGGGTACTTGGGGGCGGGGATTCGGGGACCCGACAGGGGCGGGCCACCCGTCCCGATCACCCCGCGCGGGCGGCGTTTCCGGGGGCCGCATATGCGGCCGCGCCGCCGGGCCCGACCCGCACGCCGTGTGTGCGCGCTGGGGCCCGGCCCCGGGCGCGCGACCGCCGGACACCCGGCCCAGTGCGCGACCCCCGCCCTGCCCGGCCCCGGCGGAGCGCGCACCCGCACGTGTCCACACCGCACACGCCCTGTGGCATGCGCTGCCACGCGGGACCGAGCCCCCACCCCCAGTCCCGGGCCTCGCACCTCGAACTGCCAGTGGGCCGCCTGCAGCAACTGCTTCGCCTGGTCGGCAGCGCAGCCCGCCGTCAGCACGAACTGGTTGATCATGACCTGGTGCTTGAGCTCATCCATGTTCACGGACATGGCGCCCCCGCGCTGCCCGCTCCGGCCTCCTGCCGCCGCGCTCTCCTCCGATTCACGCGTCCACCATTAGCGAGCCGGCTCCAGCTAATACAAATATTTACTGTGCGGCTCTGACTCACCCAGCCTCGCCTCGCTCCGGGGCCGCGGGGGGCATGCTGGGAGATGTAGTCCGCGCCCGCCCGCTCTCCAACGGGGGCTTGCTGCCGAGCTGTCACCAGCCGGGCACCTACTGTGTGCAGAAGCGGGCGGTGATGAGACATGGGCACCCGCGCCCCTGCCCTGGCACTGACGGGGGTCAGCAGGCGGAGGCCACACGGATCTTTGTCAAGACCCTGGATCCCGATGTGGTTGGCATCCCTCTGTTGAGTGGGCACACCCTTGGAGAGGGGGGCCCTAGCAATTTTGGCATAAATCGGCAATACTATGTCGCAAGGCCCCGAAGGTCTGGTACACAGTAGGCGCCTATATTCGTTCAGTGAATGAAGGAATCTCCTTTTTAGGGCTCTGCTCAAAGTCACCGCCTCCAGGAAGCCTTCCGAGTCTCCCCAACGTCCCGAGCGCATCGTGCACTTGGGAAGCAGGTCCCTCTACGGCCTGGAGTTCGACAGGGTACACAGTAGGCACGAGGAACGTCTAGGATTAGGGATGGCGCCCGGGACAGGCAAGCGAGGCCGCCAGCCTCTGGTGCCTCGGGCTTCCCTCCCCGCGGTGCTCCACTTTCCCACGCAAAATCTCGTGCACTTTGCCGGAAATCTCGGTCTTAAGCATGCTGGCGCCAGGACCGCGCGGAGCGAGTTCCGGAAAGGCTTCGAACTTCTATTCCCAGAATGCTCCAGTTTATTTGCATCGTCCCGTCCCGAGTGACGTCAGTGAGTGAGGTTGCGCCTCAGCCAATGGGCGGGCGCGGGGTGTTAGGACCTGGCCATATAAGGTAAACAAAGCTGGTCGCCCAATGAGGCGGCGGTGGGGGCGGGCGCTGAGTCGGCGGACGGGGGCGTGTCACGTGGCGGGCGGGGGCGGGGTGTTGCGGACTGTGTTTACAGCTCCGTACGCACTTCTTCCGTTTGACGTCTGGGGTCTAGTGTGCGGAGCCCGGTTAGGCTCGGAACTGGGATCCCGCCGGGGAGTCGGGCAGAAGCTTTGGGCGGAGGTGTGACTCGGTCACCTCCGCGCTAAATGACCTTGTCCCGGTTCCTCACGCTCCCTGGGTCGGGCCTGTTTCATTTATTGAGCAACTATGTATTGGGCCCTTACTCTGTATCCGGCTCTGACCTGGCCCTGCTCCAGCGGAGAGTAAATAAGAGACGGGTCGGCTCGTGGCAGGGCTGGAGTGGGGGCGTGTGTCAAAAATCCCAAGGACAGATGTAGAATTGCAAGTGTGGAAAGGTGCCCTCAGGAAGCATACACAGGCCCTGGGGTGGTGGCTTAAAGGCCATTGAGGAGTTTTTAATAGGTCTGATCTGTTATCCACATTTAGGATCACTGGCTGTGGCAGTGTGGGAACCAGATGGGGTAGGAAGGTGGGGGAGGAATCCAGTCGGTTCAGGTGATGTTCTGGGTGTGTCTGGTTCCAGAGGAGTCTGCCCCTGCCCAGCACCTTGCCAGCAGAATTGGATTGAAGGGAAGAAACTGTCCCACGCTGGGTAAGGTAGGGTAGGGTGGGTTCCTGCAGAGCTCCCTGGGGAGCTTTTCCTGGATCCCTCAACTCTTCCAGGTGTTCTGGCTTTGGCTAGTGGGAGGGGGAGTATGGGGGACATGTGAACAGGGCCTGAAAAATCCCTGGGTTGTGAGGGGTGGGGGGAGGTTGGGACACCAGGATAGGTCAGGGAGGGAGTAGAGTAGCCCAGCTAAAGTTGGGACCTTGGCCCATTGGCAGAAAGAAGACTCAGTGTCCCCTTCCAATCGGTGCTTCAGCCCTGGCTGAAGTCACCTGTCTGCTTGGGAAATAAGGTTTCGGCCTCCTTTTTTGTCTTGTGGGGATTACTGTTGCCACCATTTTTTGCAAACCCTGATGGTGCCAGATTTCCACTCTTATTAAGAATATCCCTTCAGCCTGCCAAGTGGCATGTTGGTTAGGAGTTGCTTGGGATACCAGCTCTGAGCAGCAGGGCCCAGGATTGGATCCCACATGAGGGCCAGCAATACTGCGCCCTCTACAGCTAAGATGGTGAACAACAGCTCAACCTGGAGTTGGGCTGCCGTGAGTTGCTGGTGACAGTATAGGCTGCAGTGGGGCTGGCCGGCAGCTGGTGTGAGCTTTCGTGAGCTGCCATGAGCCGCCGTGAGCCACCGTGAGCAGCTGTCCAATGGCCGGTGAGCAACTGCTTCACCCAGGAAGAGCGCAATGATAATACCAACATGGGCCAGTGAAGCGACATCCTCCACAACTAGGCTGAAGAACAAAAGGACAGCAACTTGTCTGTTCCCCTTCTCTGATTGCCCAACGCTGTTCTTCTCTCCCAATTACCCAATAAAATCTTTAAAAAAAAAAGAACATCCCTTCAGGGGCAGCCGGTTAGCTCAAGTGATTAGAGCCCAGGCTTAAAACACCAAGGTTGCCGGTTCGATTCCCACATGGGCCAAGGAGCTGTTCCCTCCACAACTATAATAGATTGAAGACAACTACTTGATTTGGAGCTGATGAGTCCTGGAAAAACACACTGTTCCCAAATAAAATTTCTTAAAAAAAAAAAAAAAAGAATGTCCCTTCACCTTTGCAAAGCATCATAAGCACAAATTAATGTGGGCAGAGCTGCTCAGTACAGAGTAGGCAGCTCTGAATATGGTTACTGTTATCACTGGGACAACAACAGGGCATGGTGGAAGGTGAGCAGGTTCTGCAGCCAGACAGACCTGGATGTCAGTATTGACAGCCATTTAACGACTCTGATGTTGGGCAAGGTACTCCCGTTCTGAGCTTCAGTTTCCTCATTTGTAGAACCCAAGGTGGGGGCAAGGAGCTCTCCCAGGACTGCTATGAAAGATTAATGCCAGTGAGGTGCTCAGCATGGGCCTGGCATTCACTGCACCATTTCTAGCACTCACCTCTTTACCTCCATCTATACCACTCTAGGAAGCCCAAGCTCCATTTTACAGATAAGGAAACTGAGGCTGTAATTCAGGCCTCCTTACACTCTTGCCAGTGTAGAAGAACACACACCCAGTGGGCCAGCATGGTGTGTTTCTGGCAAGGGAGGGTGGGTATTGGCAGGACCTACTGGGGGCTTTCCTTGCTGAGGGAGGCAGGAAGTACCTTCACCCCTCCCCCACCCTCATCCAGGCACCTGCTCAGGCTCGCCCAGCCCAGACAGAGCATTTCCAGACCAGGCTAGCCGGGGTGTGGCAGGTGGGAAAGGCAGGAGCAAAGGTCACTCCTCTGTCACCCCTCTGCCCCCCAAACCCCCCCAGCCGGATTGTTTTCCCAGGAACAGCAGGGAAGGAAAAAACAACCTTGTTTTTAGCCAGAATCAGCATGGCTGAAGAGTGGACTTTGGATTTCTTAGCAGGCTCAGATGGGGCCTGACAGCTGGGGCCGGTAGATGGGGGAGGGGAGAATAAAAAGCGTTTCAGGCGGTGCCCTTATCTTACCTGAGGTCCAGCGAGGTTGAGAGCCTTGCCAGAGTTGGTATAGCCAGTCCACGGAGGCTCAGGGCTCTGGCCTTCTCAGCATCCCCGGCCTCCTCCCCACCTCCATCCTTTCAATCACTCCACAGACATGAGTGTTTATCAGACATACACTGGATGCGGGGCTCTGAAAGCACAAGAAAAAAATCGGTGAGGATCCTGCCCCCTCAAGAGGCTGGAAAAGAAGTATAGACTTGAGGGTCTCAGACAAGCAGGCTGAGAACTATGCCTAGGTTCTTTTTTGGGGGTTGTTGTTTTTTTGGTTTTTTTTTTTTAGCTGAGCCATCCTGCCACCTGTTGGCAGCTCAGCGGCAGCTCAGCTCGGGTCGTGAATCAAACCGGGGACCCTGTTGCTCAGAGCTCAAACTCTTGAGCAAGCTCTTAACCACTGAGCCACTCGGCCGGCCCTCCTAGGTTCTTTTTTACTGTTTCAAATGACTCAGTGGTGGCTGACTGAGGGGCTTTGAGGTTTGGCCACTGCCTGGCTCCTGAATTCTGTTCCCATACTCTTCCCCTTCCTTGCTTCTAGCCACACTGGCCTTTCAGCTTCTAGATCATACTTGGCTCTGCTGCTTCCGAGTGTTGATACATATTATTCCTCCTGGCTGGAACTTGGCCTACCCACTCCAAGTTTACCTGATTGGCTTTTACTTGCATTTCAAGTCCTGGCTGAAATGTCATCTCAGAGATGCCTTTCCTGACTCCCCTATCAATAGTAAGTCTCTGCTACTATTTAATTGCATCTCAATCCATTCCTCCATAGCACCCACCACATCTTGTATTTATACACTTTTTAAGTTTTTTAGTGTCTGTTTCCTCACTAACCTGTAGGCTCCATGTCTGGCAGTTCCACTGTTTGATCCCTATTGCCTGGCTCTTTGCCCAGCTCCTTGTCTGTCACATAGTAGCTGCATGATAAATATTTGTTGAATAAATAATTGAATCAGTCAAGATGTTGATAGTAGAACTAGTACCAAATCAGAAAGGCCTGTCTCCCAGAGGGGGATGGGTAAGCACAGAAAAATACACCACAAGTCCAAAGCTCTATTAAGAGGACTGTTTAATTAATCAAACATCCGGCCTATGGAAATGACTGCCCTAGCCCAAGATCCATAGGGAGGACATGTTTTTAGGGTTATTTTTCAGTGGGAACATCAGGGTCCTCAGTACTCTCCCTCCCTTCTCCCAAAGAGAGAGGCTGGTAAATTGAATGCAGTGTTGGTATATGTATATCTATGTGTGTGTGTGTGTGTGTGTGTGTGTGTGTGTGTGTGTGTGTGTGTAGAGAGAGAGAGAATGTGTAAAAAAAAGTATATACATTTAAGAAAGGAAAAAACTATTAAAGTTGTAATACTCAATATATGCTGATAACAACAGATGAATACAAGTCACGTTTGACTTCTGCAATGACAAGAGGTGCTCAAAATAGTTACCATCCACGTCCAGACACTTCTGATTACGGTGAACTACTGCTTGAGCAACGTTGACCAAAGTGTCCACTTCTATACATTTTTTGCCATCTCTGGTATATACAAGTGCTATGTGATTCAACAGAAATAAATTTAAAATAAGGAAAGAAATATCACACAGGGTAGGGGTGTCTTTGGGCCCATCTGGGGACAAGAGGTATAAAATCTGGCACATTGGAGAAATCGGCAGATTGTCCCTGGGGTGGCAGAGGGCTGTAGGAGTGGCCTGGTTCAAATTCCAGCTTTACCACTTATTTACTATGCAATCTGAGTGGGGGACTTAAGCTCTCTCAGCCTTACTTTCCTCTTCTGTATATTGGGAATTAAAATAGAATTGACATCAGAGAATTAAGTGAGAATATGTGCAAAACCGTCAACATGATGCCTGGCACATAGTAGGTGCTCAGTAAATAGGGATCTTGGTTGTGGAGCAGAGAGATTTAATCAGACTCTCCCAAGACATCGCCTCTCCCTCACAATCGTACAGGCCTCCACTTCCTTTATTTGTTTTGACTTCTTGGTTCCCTGACAATAGAAAATTGTATTCTGGATTTTGGCCTTTAGAAAGTTATAGGACTCATTTTAATGTGGACTGTAGTGAATTTACCATTTAAGATTCTTAGCCAGCCCTGCCCTCCCTGGTTGCTTTCTTGATACCGCAGGCTCAACTTGGGAAGTCACTTTCTTTTAGGAACCCGTTTCTCAACTGAAAAGTAGGTAAAAACAGATCCCAATGTGGCCTGCTCACAGAGTTTTGTGTCAGTCAAAAGCCAGAATAGTTTATTACAACCTGAGAGGCTTTAATACTCACCTTATATGCAGACCTCCCTTCTTTGTGCCTCAGTTTCCCTATCAATAAAATGGGAGGGGTCTACTGCCTCTTTGAGGGGGCTATAAAATTATGTCTTCAAAGTAATTGTTCTGGACATGGAGTCGGAGAGATTCCCTGAGTTCTGGAAAAAGCTAAATAAAGCAAGCGCTTTGCTTCCCCTGCGAGCACTGCTCCAGGTAAGCTTGGGTTCCACTCCAGCTCTTTTCAGGTGGCAGATAAACGTGTGCCCTCTGTTGGCCAGGGCAGGAGATAAACCCTGGGAAGTGGGGAGAACCCTGGTAGCTCAGGGAGATATTTCAGAGAGGGGGTAAATGGAAGTGGGTAAATAGAAGGGTCTATATATGAACAGATCATTAGAAGGCTAAAGAGTTACGATGTTGGTGTTGTGCTTGGAATGCAGAGGACCGGACGATTTGCGGTGCGGTCCATGGTTCTTCCCCCTCTGGATTCAGGTGCTTTTGGTTTGTCCCGGAGCGCTTGTCAACAACTTCAGATGGTCCGGAAGAGAAGCATGCTGGAAAATGTAGTTCCTAAGCGGGCTTCCTGCGCAGCAGCCCGGCGCCCTCAGCGGCGAGGGGACTCCGTTTCCCGACGTGCCTCGGACACGGGGGGCGGAGGGCCGCCGTGGCGTCGGGCCCCGGGCCGAGCCGGAGGTGGGGGCTCGGAGGCCGAGGCTTCCGAGGCCGTGGGCAAGCGTCCGTGTGGCCTGGTCTGGGCCATGTCCGCGTGAGGACGCCGCTGCTGCCGTCTGCGTCCCACCCCAGCCCGGCCCGCCTCGCACCATGGGCTCCATTCTGAGCCGCCGCATCGCGGGCGTGGAGGACATCGACATTCAGGCGAACTCGGCCTATCGCTACCCCCCGAAGTCCGGTGAGCGGCCGGCCCCGACCCCGGGAGCAGACGGCGAGGCGCGGGCTTGGCGACTGGCGGGGTGGGCAAGGCCCTCCCGCTCCGGGCTCTCCGCGCAGGAGTGGGTGGAGGGCTCTGCTTGGCCCACGGTCCCCCTTGCATTTTCCCCCCTGGAGCTCCGCGCGCCCTCGCCTTGGACCCCGGGGCATGCATGGGGCCCTGGGGTGACGGTCTCGTCCAGGCTGGGTGACCTTGGGTCAGTCACTTCGCCCCTGAGCGCCACAGCTCCTTCGTCTGCACACTAGGGAGACTCTCCTCGAGAAACTCCTAGGGCCGGGGTGAGGTGCCGGGAACTTCGCTGGCGAGGAGTTAGCATAGTGCCCGGCGCTTCTCTTGTGCTTACAAAGTGGTCATTGTCATAAGGATTGACATCACATCATCGTCGGTTTTAGCTTTCTTTAGTGGCTTGGTGTGAAGACCCAGCCAGTGGTTCTGGACACTCCATCCTATCTGGTCAGAGTCTTAGCTCTCCTGTGACCTCCTGGTGTGTGGATTGTGGATGGAGTTGGGCTGGGCCCAAGGAGATGATTATAGTTTGATGGGGGAGAGGCTGGAAGTCCTTGCTGGAGAACAGGAGAATGGTTAGGGGACTACCGGGTTCTCTGGTCTCCTTTTGTGTGTGTGTGTGCGTGATGGAGAAACCTGAGCCACCATGGAGGAAGCGACTTTCCCAAAGCCTCAGCTAGATGGACGCACATTAGGGACCAGGACCAGGAGTCTGACTCCCAGAGTTAGTTGTTCCCACTCTGTTCTGCCTCTAATGATGAGTGTGGTCTGACCCAGAACTGTAGCTCCAGTTCCTCTCTCTCCATCTGGTCATTTGCTGTGGAGGGAAGAGAAGAAAGGACGGGGAGTTTGGACATCATGGGGATTTTCAGGTTGGGTCCTCTGATCCTGGCTTCTGCAGTATCTGATCCAATGTGGTCTTCTAGGCCTTGCATGTGGCCTGTGGGCATCCATCCAGGCCAGGTTTCCTCTGAGTGTGGTTTAGGACCACCTGCTCCCACCCGTGGGGAAGCTTGTGAAACATGCATTTCCCAGGTCCTGCCTCAAACCTGCTGGAGGCCTGGGAACCTGCATTTAAAACCCATTCCCCAGGTGAGTCTGATGTCCACTCAAGTTTGAGAACTGCTCTGCCCTGATTTTGGAAGATGAAAGAAGGGGAGTGCCTGGGGCTACTGGAAATAAAGGTGGTGGAGATGGTTTTAGAGCAGCTGGAAGGGGATGAAGTCAGAACTGGGCAGAAGGCCCTGTTGCTTACTAGTTGAGGCGATCTCCATGCCTGCTTGTGCCCCAGGCACAAAAGCAGGGAAGCCCAGCCTGGTGTGGGGATTCCCTGGAGGCTCTGGGGGCTGACTTCTCCAGATCGCATGGAGCAGTTGTTACGAAGCCAGCCTCTTCCATCGCTGATGTTCTTCCAGCTTGTCTTTAGTTGAGTGACCTTGGCAAGTTGCTTAGTCCCCCCGGGTTACACTTTCCTCATCTGTAAAATGGGTTGATCCTTGCTCAGTGCTCAGAACAGTACCTGGCACCTAAGCGATCTTCACAAAGTATTAGCTGCCATAATGGCTTAAGAAGGAAATCAGGTGACCAGCTCAGATCCTAATAACAGTTAGCACTGGTGTGGCAGAGATATCAGAGTTTAATGTGGCACCTCCTGTCACCTGTTACCAGAACACTTAAATGTCCCTTCACTTGGGTCTTTGGACAAAACCGCAAATACAAGGCATTTACAGCGCTGCTTTCGGATTCCAAGTGGCAGACCTTGCTAATCAATGAGAACGCTCTTTCACGCTGAGCCTGGCCTTGGTTTCAGAATCCACCAACAACACCCCAGTCAGCCACGACTAATCGATTGGGCTTGGCATCCAGGTGCCACCTTGGCTTTACTGTAGTGTTTGGGACCTGTTCAGTACCAAGTCTGTCTTTTCTACTTCCTCATCCGTCAGGCTGCCTTGTCCAGGGAGGGTCAGTTGGAGGCAGAAGGGACATTAGCAGTTTTTAAAAACTGGATTGTATGTCTTCCCCAATGGTGGACTCAGGACCATAGGGAGGGTTGAAATGATTTTAGGGGGCGCCCCCATGGACCATTTAATTGCTTTTATGAGAAAGTTATCTTTTTAGGTCTGTCAATTTTGTTGATTATATCAAGGAGAAAGAATCCGTGGGTGCTAATATTTTTTTTAACACCTAACACTCTCCAATTTCCCCCCCAACTTTGAGATGTAATTGGCAAGTGTAAGTTTAAGGTATGTAATGTAATGATTTGATACATGTACATACTGGGAAGTGAATACCACAATAAGGTTAGTTAACACATCCATCACCTCACATTTACTTTGTGTGTGTGTGTGTGTGTGTGTGTGTGTGTGTGTGTGTGTGTATAGTGAGAACTTTTAAGATCTCTTGTCCAATTTTCTTTTACATATGGGACTTTCAGCATGTAATGCAACAGTACTTAGCTCGAATTTAGTAGCATTTGCTTTGTTTTTATTGTATTTATTTTACTTTTTAACAACTTCATTGATGTATAGTTTGTGTGCCATACAACTCATCCATTGTAAACATACGATTTGGTCATTTTTTTAGTAAATTTGTAAAATTGTGCAACCACCACCACAATCAGTTTTAGATATTTCCTTTGCCCCCAAAGTTTCTTCGTGTCTATTTGCAGTCAGTCCCTGCCCCCACCCCATCACTAATCTGCTTCCTGTATTTAAAATTTGCTCTTTCTGAACATTTCACATAAATGGAATCATACAACATGTAGTCTTTTTTGTATCTGGCTTCTGTCACTTAGCATAATGTTTTTGAGCTTCATCCATATTGTAGCATGCCTGGATATAGTCCGTTTTACCTATTCACCAGGTAATGAACATTTGGGTTGTTTCCACTTGGGGGCTATTAATAAATAAAGCTGCTATAAACACTTGTGAACATTTGCATGGCTCTGTTCATTTCTCTTTGATAGATACCTAGGAGTGGACTTGCTGGGTCATAGGGTAACTCTATGCTTATCCTTTTGAGAAACTGCCAGGCTGTTTTCTATAGTGTCTGCTCCATTTTACATTTATTCCCACCAGCAGTGTTTGAGGGTTCCAGTTTCTCCACATCCTCAACAACACTTCTTGTTGTCTGCCTTTTTTTTTTTTTTTAAATTGGGGAATTGGGCGAAGGGAATAGTGTTGGGGAATTGGGGAAGGGGACCAGCCAAGTTGTTGTTCTTCAATCTTCATTGTGGAGGGTGCCAGTTGCCATCTGGCTTCCTGTCGGCAGCTCGTGCTCTCTAAGCTCAAGGTGCTGTGTTCAATCTTAGTTGCGGGTGGGCATAGCCCACCCTCAAACAGGCAATCTTGTTGTTACACCAGCTGAGCCATCCTGCCACCTGTTGGCAGCTCAGCAACAGCTCAGCTCGGGCGCAGCATCACTGGCCCATGTGGGAATCGATCCGGCGGCCCTGTTGCTCAGAGCTCGCACTCTTAAGCCAACTCTTAACCAACTGAGCCACTCAGTCGGCCCCTGCCTTTTTAATTATAGCCATCATAGTGGGTGTGAAGTGGAGTCATTGTGGCTTTGATTTACATTTCCCTGATGACTGATGATGTTGAACATCGTGTGTGTGTGTGTGTGTGTGTGTGAGTGTGTGTGAGAGAGAGAGAGAGACACACACACAGAAATGTCTGTTTTTGTCTTGTTCAGTTTTTAAAAATTGGATTATTTGTTTTCTTATTGAGCTGTAACATTTCTTTATGTATTCTAGATACAGTGAAACAATTCCTTTATCAACTCTGGGATTTGCAAATATTTTCTCCCAGCCTATGGCTTGTTTTTTCTGTTTTCTGTTTTTTGTTTTTCATTTCCTTAATGGTGTCTTTTGAGGAGCAAAATTTTTAAATCTTGGTCAAGTTTCATTTATCAGTTTTTTTAAAAGGTTAATGTTTTTGCAGTTACATCGCAGAGATCTTTGCCTAGCCCAAAATCACAAAGATTCTCTCCTTTTTTTTTCGTAGAAGTTTTATGGTTTTAGCTCATACATTTAGGTCTGTGATCCATTTGAAGTTATTTTTTTCATGTATGGTTGAGGTAGAGGTCTATGGTTATTATTTTGCATGTGGATGTTCAGTTATTTCAGCATTACTTGTTGAAAAGACCATTCTTTTCCCATCAAATTGCCTTTGCACCTTTGTCAAAAACCAGTTGACCATAAATGTGAGAATTTCTTTTTTTTTTTTTTTTTTACTGGGGAATTGGGGTATGGGAACAGGGCTGGGGAATTGGGGGAAGGGTAACAGACAAGTTGCTGTCCTTTTGTTCTTCAGTCTAGTTGTGAAGGACGTTGCTTCACTGGCCCAAGTTGGCACCATCATTGCGCTCTTCCCAGGCGAGGCAGATCAGTCGCCGGCTTCTGGACGGCCGTTCACTGCGGCTGCTGGCCGCTCACGCTGGCTGCTGGCTACACACTGTAGCCCATCGCAACCCACTGCCACAGGGGCTGCAGCCTACGCCATCGCCGGCGACTCACGGCAGCCCAGCTCCAGGTTGAGCTGTTGTTCAGCATCTTAGCTGTAGAGGGCAGTGTCACTGGCCCTCATATGTGGGATCCGAACTGGGTCCTCTGGCGTCCCAAGCCAGTTCTTTTTTTTTTTTTTTTTTAGCTGAGCCATCCCGCCACCTGTTGGCAGCTCACGGCTGCTCAGCTCGGGCTGACTCGAACCACTGTTGCTCAGAGCTCAAACTCTTGAGCGAGCTCTTAACCAACTGAGCCACTCAGCCGGCCCTCCAAGCCAGTTCTTAAACAATGCGCCACTCGGCCAGCCTGTGAGAATTTATTTCTGCACTCCCTTGCCCCTCACACAACTGGCTGGTCCCCAGCTAAGGGTCAAAGCAGGTGTTAAGACACCACAGCCTAGATTTGAGGAAAAGGTTGTGTCCAATAAGTGGAAGAGGGCCTGGAGCACAGT